CCCCCCCCCTTTCAGGATTGTGTCATCAATTATTCAACAGGAAAGGCTGTAAATATTCAAAAAGATGTCACATCCAGCCTGACTGCAGGGACTTCATCACCCACGAGCCCCGTGGGGTTGGCTGGGACTGTATGTTGAACACGTCTTCATTATTCACTCGTCATTAGCGTCACGTTTAAACCTGCTGATGCTTCTGTTCCAAGAGACCTCAGAATAAGGTCTTTTGAGGCCTTCCTGCACTACGATGGCCACCTGCTCACCTGCTCGTGTGTGATGGTTCACTGACAGCTTTACAATGAGAGAATAAGACCATTAGAGCTCTCAGAAAGGCCCACCGGTACAAGAAACAGACTCCACAGGCACGTCTTGATAAGAGACCTTCGGGTTTATTAAAGGCAGCTTTTTTCAGCCCGCTCAGTTTCCCTGCTGTGGTTCGACCGGCAGCTGCTGAAGGCGTCAGCGAGTGCAGTGTAAAGCTTTGAGGAAATATTTTGTGGACTGATGAGACAAAGCTGAACTCTGGAAAGTTTGAGTCCAGTTACATCAGCACGACACTAACAGAAGATTTCATAAAGAGAACATCCCAGCAGCAGCAGCTGTGGTGGTGGTCCGACTCGCTGTAACTGAGGGAACCATGAATGCTGCTCTGAGGAGGAAGTATTTACAGGCTAGCTTTGTTTGATGATCTGAAACATGAAGAAGAAATCATGGAGGGCCAGTTTAGCATATGCACCAAAACACGACATGGATGAGAAGGTAAGACGGATATTTAAGGGTGAAAGCCGGCGGTAGGATCTCATTATTTTATTATTACCAAGCAAGTGTCTCCATGCTGTCACTGCAAGAATCCCAAAGCTGAAAAATGAACCCTTCTGGAGCACTCTGACCCTGTGATACCAAGAAGAGCTGGAACCACGCGTAAGAAATGAGGCCTCATTTATTGGAAAGAAAGGTGCTCGCCAAGCTCCACCCACAGAGCATTCTGGATTTATTATTACTGAATCTATCAAACACACACAGAGTATAGAAACAGTCAAACTGTCTTTAATAATACCCAAAGCTTCACGTCCACACAGCTGAACTCCACACATCACCAACCAGTAAAGAGGAGGACACAGGAAGTCAGCGAAAGCATCAAAAGAGGAAAGCATGAAGATACGTGATGGAATAATAAACATACAATGGAGAAAAAACGAAGGAAAAGTCAGGAAATATTTAGGGAGCAGTGAGGGGACAGCGAGGGGACAGTCGGGGGACATGGAAGTTTATGTTGCACATGAGAGTCCAGGTTCTGGAGGACAGGACAAATATCAGCAGCTGGAACATCTGGGACTCAAACGGGGGAACAACACAGAGCTTCATTTGTCTCTACAAGAGGTAAATCTGTTTGTTTCTGTCCTCATTTGTCCGCAGTCTGCAGCTCCATTGCTTCGTGTGTCAGAGGTTAAAGGTCAGCAGGTGTTCTTCAGTCCGACCAGACGTGTGCTCACCTCCCACAGTTTTCTTGCCACCACATCGTCCTGTCCCTCTGGAGCAGTTTCTTTCTCTGCACAGTCGCTGCAAACACAGATATGAACAATGAACAAGTGACTCAGTTTAATGTGTTTAAAATGGAAATAACCCCAGAAAAGCTCTGCAATGTTTGAACGTGTCTTTGTTCATCAATCAACCCGAAGTTCAAAACCTGCAGCTCTTCTAACGTCCAGGTTCAAAGTTTGCATCGTTGCCTCTTTGACCGACAAGTGGATGCTGACACAGGCAGCTGCAGCTGCTCGCTGCCTGCAGGCGCGACCTGGACCTCTGCTCTGTGTTTGTGCTGTCGGAGCCTCATTTTTAATGACATCGTCTGACCAATAATATGGCCGCTGTTAGGTTAATGTCCAAGAAGGCGGAGCTCTGGTTTAGGTGAGTGAAATTTGTGGGTTTTAATTGGATGTTAGTGATTAGCAGGTATCTGTGTCAGTGTGATAGCCTCCCACAGCCTGCGGATGCACGCTGACAGTCAAGCTAGCGAGCATCAGCTGAAAGAAAGTAGTCCACCCTGTCGCTGGCAGGCAGAAACGCAGAGGGCTTCAGTAACATCATTTTAAAAAGTTATTCCATTTATTCGAACGTGTTTACTACTTAAAGCTGAGAGAGGAGAAATCTCATGAAAGGAAACAGAGAAATGACAGGAAGTGAAAACTCTGATCTCAGAACGGTTTTATTTGTTTACCATTCAGCAGCTCAGACACGCCCACATTTATTATCAGAGCCGTCTACTCTTGTTTTACCTGAATTCTGCTCCTCGGACTTTAACACTTTGAGATGCTCAGGGAACAGAAAGAGGCACAGGTGTTTCTTCGGCCCCTCCCCTGCCTCCTACCTGAAGTAGCATCCAGACAGCTCCTCCAGGCCCGGCGTCACAGCGCAGTACAGGCTGGTCTGGCAGCCCTCCCACGGAGTCTTCATGAGCAGCAGGGATGGGAGCTTCAGCAGCAGCCCGACCAGGGGGAACCAACCCTCCACATGGCGACCCAGCTCGGTCCGGATCACGCCTGGGTGAAGAGAGAACGACGACACACCAGAGCCTGCAGGAAAGGTGAGGACAGAGTCAGGAGGCGGGTTCACAGGTACTTTCGGGAGCTCGGCGGTCAATCACATCACAGCGCTGAGAGGCGAGATAACCCTTCCTCCCGTCAAACCATTTTACAGTAGGGACCTCTGAGGCTTTTGAATATTTACGGGGACCTCTGAGCGTTTGTGGCGTTCAGTGTTTGTGGGGACCTGAGAGACGTCGGGCCAGCTCTCTGGAGAACAGGATGTTAGCCAGTTTGCTCTGTCTGTAGCTCTCCAGAGCGCCGTATGGCCTCCGGCTGAAGAACAGATCGTCAAAGTCAATACGACCTGTAAGAAACACATGAGGTGTTAAAGAAACAACGCAAACATCATCAGCACTGAGATCTTTTAAGAGGTTGGGGGTACCTCCACGGTGGGCAACGGAAGACACGTTGACCACACGGCTGGGGGAGGAGCTCTTCAGCTTCGGCAGCAGCAGATTGGTGAGCAGGAAGTGACCCAGATGGTTGACCGCCAGCTGTGTCTCAAAGTTGTCCTCGGTCAGCTGTTTTGGACACATCATCACTCCTGCAGACAGACGGATGCTCAGAACGACAAAAAGAGGTGCGCTCACCTGTTCACAGGTGCGCTCACCTGTTCACAGGTGCGCTCACCTGTTCACAGGTGCGCTCACCTGCATTGTTGATGAGGATGTCCAGCCTTTCTTCGCTGTCCAGGAAGTCTTTAGCAAACTGTCTAATGGAGTACGTGGAAGCGAGGTCCAGGTGTCTGATCACCACGTTACCGTTTCCTGTCGACCGGCGGATTTCCTCAGCCGCCCGTTCTGCCCGGGTCAGGTCCCTGCACGCCATAACTACCCGGGCTCCTTAATGCAGTAACAAGTGACAAACACATCAGCGTCCGCTGTGCAAACACAAAACATGATTTTATTTTATATGCTGGAACATGCAGTTGAAATAATTTCATTTTTGCTTGATGCGTAAAGTTAAAAGGTTAAAACTCATAAAACAACAAAGAGATTTTTACATTTGATTCAAATTGATATGAAGACAAAATGTACTGAAAGGTCGATTCAGTTTATTTCATATTCAGCTTGTGTATTCATTTTTTGAAAAGCAACTAAGTAATAAAGTAACTAAGTAAGTAATCAGTAATTAGTAACTAATTGCTTTTTTAAAGTAAGTGGTGAGGTAAAACATGTACAGACTTCAGCTTTCACGAGAACAGAAAGAAGAGTTTCTGTTCCTGGAGTGGGAAACATGGCGGCAGCACTCGGACGCGCCCAGGCCTCGGCTGCTGAGCCAGGATTAGTCGCCCTCGCGCACATCTCGTCTTCTTTCATGACCTTCTAGAAATGCTTTGAACTGTTACAGATGTCGAATGACTTTCAATTACATTTGAGTGAAACGAAGAAAGATTTCCACAGCTGAGCACCACGTTCACTAAAGAACAGCCAATCAAATCAGTGGATCAGTGTTTAAAATAATCAATGCACCAAACAGCTGAGCAGCACCAAGAACCTTAACGACCACAGAAGACACTGAAGTGGAAGATTACAGAATTATTTCCATGGTAAGAAAAACAACTTCACAGCGTGTAAAAGGCCTGAAACGCTGTGCAGGACGATCACTGCGATGCTTTCATGGATGGAGATACAACAAGGTGCAGACCTTGGGTATCGATCAGACTTTAAAACAAGCGCTTGCTGAAAACCGTCTTTGGACATGTGAAACTGAGATGAAGCTGTATCAGGAGGATGGAGAGAAAAGGGTGGAGGCAGTGTTATGGCGTGGGAATGTTTGGCTGGATCACAGGTGTTTCTCAGATTACAATAACACGCCCACAACATGGGACTGTAGTGTTTCCCTGTCAGCAGCTTCTAAAGCTTCGTCCTTTCTTGTAGGAGACACTCGAGTGTTCGGGCAGTAAGACGGGATCAAACCGGGCTGACCTCGGCGTGCCAGATCTCTGCTCGTCTCTTTGCCGATGCCAGCGTTTGCTCCAGTGATCACTACTGTTTTCCCATCCAGACGAACCGAACAGCGACAAACTCCACCTGCGATCCACTTCCTCAACACCGCCACGCCTGCAGACACACACACACTCTGTCAGTACGGCAGCAGTGGGGCGAGGCCTGGATCTGTTATTTCTGTGAGAAACTCAGCATTTGTATTTCTTCATGAACTCTTCGAGGAACGCTGACATTAACCTGCCTGCATCAAAACTGACTCTGCATGTAAGCTCACAGCAGCAGCAGCGGCTCCAGCTGTGGATCTGGACCCCGAATGCAGAACAACAAGAATGTATTTGTCCTCATGCAGGTCAGTGGCTCTCAGTCTGTATTATTAACTGAGACATTATTTGGGCTGTAATGTAACACTGTTTGAATTAATGAGAAGTTAAATCTTACAGATCAGCGTGACTCCCAGCAGAGCTCCAGATCTCAGCATCAGGCAGCCCTGACTTTCCTCTCCCTGGGCCGGGTCTGAGCTGCCGCCGCCACCGGGCCACGGCAGCACCAGGAAGCCCCCAGAATGTGCAGCTTTCATCCCTGCAGGTCAGAACAGACTGAGAGGGAGCTAAACTAGACGGAGGATTAACAGATTAGAGGAGATTATCCAGCACAGAGCTGCTCTGGAATCAGTTCCACAAGCCACCAATCTCTGCCATGGGCAGGAAGAAGAAACGGTTAGTGATGACAGTCGGTCGGCACCTCCAGCAGCAGGACACGGGGGCTCCCCGAGGATGTGCTCTTCACTCTGCTGACCCACGACTGCACACCATCACACAACTGCTTCCTCAAGTTTGCAGACTACACAACTGTGGTAGGTCACATCAGCAACAACCATGAGACCTACGACAGGAGTGAAGTTAAACATCTGGCTGAGTCCCTGAACGTGGAGAAGACCAAGGAGATCATCATAGACCAGGAGAACTCACACCCTGCACACCCCACTGACCATCAGTGGTGCTGCTGTGGAGAGAGTAAGCAGCACCAAGTTCCTGGGTGTGCACATCTCAGAAGTTCTCTCCTGGTCAAAGAACACAGCATCATGGTCAGTAAAGCCCAACAGTGACTCTACTTCCTGCTCAAACTGAGGAAAGCGAGAGCCTCGACCCCCACGATGAGCACCTTCTACAGAGGCATCCTCACCAGCTGCATCACCGTGTGGTACGGCTGCTGCACTGGGCCTGCAGGAAACAGCTACAGCGAGCAGTGAGAGCAGAGAGAGGATCGTGGGTGCTTCTCTTCCCTCTCTCCAGGACATCTACTGCACCCGCCTCACCCAAAAAGCTCTCTGCGTCACAGGTGACTCCACCCATCCGTCCAACAGCTTCTTCAGTTTGCTGCCATCAGGAAGGAGACTGAAGAACCTCGGGGCCAAAACCAGCAGACTGAGAGACAGCTTCTTCCATCAGGCCGTCAGGATGCTGATCAGCATCCTGACGGCCTGAGGGCAGACGTGGGTGCAGGTCTGGTCGAACCTGTCGACCAGACCTGCACCCACGTCTGCCCTCTGACCCACAGTGCCCACAAACACTCGCATTGTGTTGGACACTTGTGTGTATACGACTTTCATGTTGTTTAGTGTAACGCTGAGGGCCACGGGAGCCCTGCAGGTTCCTGTGTGTGATCTGTACATGTAGTTTTTGACAATAACGTTGACTTCGATGACGCTCTGCTCTTTGGTAAACAATAAAATGAAATAAAATCAGAATAAAATCACTACATGAATACATATAACAGTCCTGCTCGCAGCTCGAGTTTCATCTGCTCTGTCAGTAAACTCTACTAACCAAAGTCTAATTTAAAGGTCTGCAGATCCACAGCAGCACTCTGTGGGTGTGTGCTTCAGGAACACGGGGACAAAAACGGCACGTTATGCTGCCAGGGCTAGTTATTTTATGAAACCTTCTCTTTGCTCTAAGCTGAAAATGATTCAGAAAATATACATTTTAGATTTACGTGATTTGTGCGGAGACACTCTGGAAAACCTCTGGTTCATTATGACATCACAGCGTGTCACAGGAAGTTCAGTGCGCGTGCCACTGTGTTGAGACCTGGCTGAAAGGTGAGCCTCACCTGTGTGAGGTACTTTTTTCTGAAGCACAAACACCTGAAAAAAGAAACTCGTTTTTATTTTACGACGCGCTTTTTCAGCTCGTGACGTCACGGACATTGGTCACGCCCCATCCAAACAAAACAAAAAGAAGATGGCGCCCTGGCCCAAGCGTGGCGGCGGTCCTGGCGCCCCCCCCCCGCTGACCGGCCGCGGAGCCCGCTGTCCCCCGGCCCGGTAATCCGGTCTGCTCGCCTCTATCCTGACGGCCGCGGCTTGGTTCAGCTCCTCCACAAAGATTCCACTGACCAATGAGCTGCAGGGCCACCTGAACAGGAAGTGACGTGTCTGTGCGGACCAATCCGCAGTTGTAAAACGGCAGCGGGCGGAAGGCCCGCCCCCTGACTGTCGAACCGGAGCGCGCCTCGAGAAGAGCCGTGCGAACCCGTCCGAGCTCTGCGGTGCCGCTCCAGTTTCAGGTAAGCCCGGCCCGGCACGGCTTGTCCCGGCGTCACACGCAGGCCCCGCTGAAGCTTTCGGAAGGCGCTCGGCGTGCAGCGACGAGCTGCCCCCGGCGGGGCGGTGCAGACGGGGTGCGCGCTGCGTGCTGAGCTCTGGTCCTGACCGAGAGCCCGGTGACCCGGTTCGGCTCAGCTGGGCCCGCTCGGCCTGTAGGTTCGGGTCCCCGCCGACAGGCGCGTCTCAGCCGGGTTGAAAGGAACAAAAACCCGGAGAGCGGGCTGAGCGCCCCCTGTGGCGACAGCTGCCATTACACCTGCAACTACAGCTGATTGAACCCAACTTTATTTAAAAAGATTTACCGACGTCAGAGTTTGTGCAGAGCTGCTGTTGTTTAACTTCACCGTCAGCTGAGCGAATGAAGGCCAGCCTTTGTTAATCACACCACTACTTTATTTAAAATAAGGGCCGTGACAAAGAGACAGAGCACAAACGGCAGCAACAGAAGGCATCGAAACGTCAGTGACCGGAAGTCTGTCCACACTAACGCCGCTGCCGTGATTGTGCGCGTGATCAGCGGGGTCAGGTCATCCTGATCAGCGTGTTCGGCAAACGCAGGTGTTTGACTGGACTGCACAGGTGTCCTCATTTAAATCATAAATGTTTTAAATCAACCGACTTCTGTTCAAACCGGGACTGAACTGCGCAGCTGTGAAGTTCACTGACACAAACATCAGCGTCTGTGATGCTGATCAAACCTGATGGACCCGTCCTCAGGCTGTGGACGCACCACAGAGTCTTTCAGCTGATTTGTCCCTGAAGGACATGTCTGTTTGTAGTTTTTGGTTTAATGTCACTGTGGTAATGCTGAGAGACGACTCCGCCTTTCTCTCATTGGTCTTTGGGCTCACAGGTGTTCTCTGAAACTAAACGCACTCGAGTATTTACAGCTAAAGTTACCTGTGAAAAGATCACCTGCTCACCTGGCTCTCAGGTTAAATATAACTCTAAGCTGCAGGTGTGCAGTACCAGTGTACCAATGTCATGTGACGTAGTGGAAATGCTGCTGGTCAGATTTTTCTTTTATCGTGGTTACAATAATGGTTTCTCTGGTGGTTTCCATAGCAACATGGATACAGAGTTGTTTATGGAGTGTGAGGAGGAGGAGCTGGAGCCATGGCAACAGGTGGATGACAGTGTGGAGGAAGATGACATGGACTTCATGGACAACTATGGAGAGCCAGGTGAGTCTCAGAACCAGGTCCAAACTCTAAAACCAGTTCTGGACACTCTGGACCTGAGTCAAACCCTAGAACCAGACTCTCGCTCTCTCTCTCTCTCCATGTAGTGGAGGATTCTCCATCTCCACTCCCAGTCTCTGAGACTCCACCTCCAAGGACCCCCCCACCCATCACACCTGCTATAACAGGTATGTGTTCGGTGTTTCTTTGAATAGCCGATGACACAACAGGAGCCCCAGACGGCGTCTTCACTTGGATGCTTAGATCAGTTGTGTTACTGTAGACTCTCACAGCATGACTGTTGACTGTGTGATCTAGCACGAGATGAATAAAGCTGAGTTTACAGGTGTCGTCAGGTTCAGGTGTTGAGTGTGGCGCTCTCTCTCTGATGTTCGTGTGTCAGAGCAGCAGAGCTAACACAGTGTGGAGGAAAGTGGCAGCAAAGGGTCAGCAGGTCAAAGGTAAAAGCAGCAGACCTCTTCTCTGGGACAGGCAGAGCTTCAGCAGCTTTGTTGGAGAACCAAACGTGACGATGTCTGAAGCTGATCCTGGAACAGCCTGAAGCAGCAGAGACGCGGTGCTGTGAGCTGAAGGTGTTCCTGGATGTGGAGGAGCAGTCTGTGCTTCCGCGTCCCTCCGTAAAAGCTTTCACCGAGTCCTTCTGCTAACCTTTCTCTCTTCTTCAGCTTCATCACCTGCCCAGGTCGTCTCCTCTTCCTCTGTGATACCTCCTTCCTCTGTCGTTACCGCCTCCTCCTCTGCCCCGCGCCTCCCTGTTGCCTCCACGGCCCCACGCCTGATGGCTCAAGCTCCACCACTCATCCTGACTCAGACAGCGGGTGGAACGTTCCTACTTCCAGCGGCCGCCGGCACCAGCAGCAGCCAGCCCATCCTGCTCACCACTACACAGGTATGGAAATCAAACGCACCCTGTGCTTCAGCAGGTCAGCCAGGCCGAACGCTCCTCTGTGAAATGAGTAAAACGTGAGAATAACGAGTAACATAACGTGAAACATACATGTGTACTCTAGCGTAATAAATTAAACCATCCATCCATCCATCCACTTCCGCTTATCCTTTTCAGGGTCGCGGGGGGCGCTGGAGCCTATCCCAGCTTTCATAGGGCGAGAGGCGGGGTACACCCTGGACAGGTCGCCAGTCTGTCGCAGGGCCAACACACAGGGACAGACAACCATTCACACTCACTTTCATTCGCACATTCACACCTAGTGACAATTTGGGTTATCCAATTAACCTATCCCCACAAGCTGCATGTCTTTGGACGGTGGGAGGAAGCCGGAGTCCCCGGAGGGAACCCACGCAAACACGGGGAGAACATGCAAACTCCACACAGAAAGACCTGATGGTGGAATTGAACTCAGGACCTTCTTGCTGTGCGGCAACAGTGCTAACCACCGTGCCACCGTGCTGCCCCAATAAATTAAATTAAATAAATTAAACCATGAACAATAATCCAGAGTTTAGGCTCCACCCTTTAAACCGCTGCAGGCAGTCAGGCTGTCGGAACAGTGATTTAGTGTTTTGCTCACAATTATTTTAAATCATAATCTTGGTTATTTTGTTTTGGTCACTAAGCCACTCCCTCGGCTGGTCGAGGGCCGGTGTCCTGCAGGTTGTGGACGTGTCCTCGAGCATACACAGCTGATTTAAATGGCTACATTACCTCCTCAACACACCTGTACTAATCATTTAGTTCAGGTGTGTTGGCCCAGGTTGAGATCTAAAACCCACAGGACACTGGCCCTTGGAGATCCCCACCCTGATGTAAAACGTGGGTGCAGCATTTTAAACCTGCATTCTTTCTCATGCCCAGCAGGGGGCGCTGTGAAAAGCGGTCTGTGAGGAAATCCTCTTGCTCAGCTGAGTAAACTCTCTCGTGGTTCAGTGCGACTCTGGTGGCATAAAACAGGAAGTTCACTTTAGGATTTTGGTTAGGGCTGGGTTTTGATAATCGATTTATTGATTAAAATTGATTCTAGCTTGGATAACGTAAAATCGATTCATTAAAATCCTGAAAGGATTTTTAAGTATAAATTTATTTTGCCTGAAACGCCAGAATCTCAGGTTGAACCTCACAGCAGGATTCTGCACAAAGACGTAAACACAAAGCGCCGACGCAAAAGAAGATCCAAACCACTCT